ACGACATTTAATGAGATTTGGTGATTATTATTATTATTATTTTTATTACGGGGCCCCTTGACATTCGTATTAATCCTTTCCTTTAAAAGGGCTCATCAAATGTCGAAAATATCGAAAGTGAATTAATTTCCCTATAAGAAAAAGGAAACAAATTAATCGTGCAAGACACCCAAAAGTAGAAAAAAAAAAAAATTTCCCACGTGAAATATTAAGATTAATGAAATAGAAAAATTTTAAAAACAACAATAACAATAATTAAAAACAATTGAAAATTGACACTTCCCTTTAATGAAGTCTGACCACCGGCGTGGCCGTACTTTGGTTTGGGCAGCCGCGTAACAGGGTTTTGTCACTCTGATCCCCAGGAGGCCTGGTCAAGACGGGCCGCGGGGGCTTTGACCCCTGGAACTTTTCCCCGGGAAAAACCCAGGTGATGATTGAGGGATGGGAGGGGGGAGAGTGGGATGGTGTTATGTTTGAAGGGGAAAACCCCTTCCTTTTGGACTTGAGATCAAGTCTTTTCCGGGGTTACTTCCCCCTTCTTTTTTTAATCCCACTAAACCAGCTTGAGAGTCACTGGACTTCTGTCCACAACTATCTTTCCAAGGCCTGTACCTCTCGTTTTTTTTGACTTTTAAAGTGGTTCAAACATTGCCAGTGTCAGGTTCCAACACAGCTTGCGTAGCTGTGTCGGGTATTTTCATCTGACAGAAAGAAACAACACCAAAAACATGATAATATGGAATGTACCCAAAAGTATCCTTAGATGCTCACCTGGGCTTGAAACACTGGGAACACGGGGCATTTTTGGCCACCGGGAAAACCCTCTTACAAGATCAAATGTCATTTTTTCCATGAATGCGAAGCAAAAAATTTTTTCGTTAAAAAAGAACGATGTGGGTTTATCGAAGTCGATGCCATCGAATGTTGGGGGGGCCACTGTATTTTAATTGGCGTCACTTGTGCATGCGTCCCACCACATCTCATAAAATTTTGTTTTATTTTTTCTACTGTGGGTTATTTTCATATATGTTATGCATCGTGTTTATTTTATAATTTGAAAAAATATCATAAAATGGTTTAAACCCTTTTTTCAGGTCCAAGGCCAAAATCTGAAGGGTTTGCCCCATGTCCAAAATTTTTCAAAAAAAAAAATTTGTTAATTTTTTTATGAAAGGGTAAAAAAATCTTTTAGTAAAGGGTAATAAAAAAAAAAAGTAAAAAAATTTTGATGGAAAATTGATAAAATTATGCTCTCGTGAATTTTGATGTGTAAAGCGATATTTATGAATGGGCAAATTTTGCCAATTTTGACCCCCCTTTTGGGCCCAATTTTAACATTATTCCATTAAACCCAAAAATTCTTTGCTATTTTCATTTAGTTTTACTTGAATTCTATCGATTGGCACAAGAAACCCCCAAGTTAAGTTTCAACTAAAAAAATAAAGGTTTGGAAATTGGAAATTTGGGCCAAATTTTAACACAAATTTTAAAAATTTTCCAAATTTTCCAAAATGGGGCCCCAGAAAAAACAATGTAGGTTTTCCCCTGGTAAACTAAAAATTTCCTCTGTTCTTTATTTACTTTTTTGATCTTTACAAATAAATTCCATTTTGATTTTTTATTCACATAATGAATTTTTAAACCCACACCAAAAAATGGGAAGATTTACGTTAGCAATTTGTAAAAAATTGTATAAAATCATCACCACTTTTTGTGAATGAATTTTAAAAACCCCCCCGGCGGGCGGAAATTAGACGTGTGAGGTCATTTTTTTTACTTTTGAACATCAGAAAAAATTTAACATTTCCCGCAACTTTGGCTCATTTCCCAAGCCATTTCCCCCCAAAAACCCAATCAAAATAATCTCTTTTTTTCCTGTAATATGCCCTTCCATTCAAATCAATAAAAACCAAAAAATTTCGCAAATACAATATAAAAAACAAAAACGAAAAAACCCTGAAAAAATTCTGTTTTAATAAAAAAATTCACGGCTCATTTTTTTTCTCTCCTTTAAAACACAGGTGCGCGGGTTTTTTTTTTTAAATTGTGGTGCACCCCTACCAAAAAGATGTATTCTCTAAAATTTTCCTTTTTTGGGGGCTGAGCTCAGGGCGAAAGTCAACGGTTTTTGGACCCAAAAACAAAAGCCGTAGATCTATGGACGCCCCTAAAAGGGGTTTTTAAGAAAAGTTTATATAACATAATGAATAAACTTTTAAATGGATTTTGGTAATTTATTATTACATTACTAAAAGGGACATCTCGAACATAAGAAAACTAAATTTAAATGTGCCGCCCCAGCCAGAGGGAAAGTTTATTTAGGACGGGGTTTATACAAAGTAAAAATTATCAGAGATACATAAAATATAAATAATTTTTTAAAAAAAAAACCCTAAAATTTTGGATTTTTCAGACAATAGGGGAGAGATTTAAGT